ATGCGCCTTTGGCATTTAGTCATGGTGGCCACATGACCACGGAGACGTCTTTGGACAGCGCTGGCCCTTCGGCTTTGAAACAGAGATGAGCAACATCCCCTAGAGTCGGGAATGACTAGCACGTATGTGCGAGGGGAACCTTTACCTTTACAGCTCTCTCTAAGCGGTTTACAGAGTCAGCCTATTGCCTCCAACAATCTGGGTCCTCCTTTTACCCACCTGGGAAGGATGGAAGGCTGAGTCAACCTTGAGCCTAGTGAGATTTGAATGGCCAGATTGCAGGCAGCCGGCAGGCAGCAGAAATAGCCTGCAGTACTGCACTCTGACCACTGAGCCACCACGGTAATGTGACCAGGAGGAGGGCTTAGAATGCAGCAGACACCAGCATCCCAAGTCGATACCCAATAAGGATTCTTTGGGTAGAATTCTTCTTTTCTCTGGCCCGTAGTCAATTCCGAGCCATTTTTTAAAAAAAACTTCCAGCTTTATGCCAGTCCAAATTCGATCCTCTTCTCTGGGGTTTTCAGAGAGTCCTCCTGCTGATGAGCAGATGGACAGAGTCCCGAGACTCTTCCCATAGATGCTTTCCTACATGCCGCTGGAATGGACAGAATAAAAATGGCAGATGACTGGAGTCTGGGGGCTGATGCCCTTGGCCTGAAAGGATATCAGAACTGCCAGCAAACCCATAAATATAAGAAATATATTATTACAATGCTGTGATAATAAGAGCAACCAAGAGAGAATGGGTAATTGTCTTCTCTTTCAACTATTTTGTGAGTCAACAAGTGGTTCCAATAGCATCTCTCTCCCTCTCTCTCTCTCTCTCTCTCTTTCTCTCTCCCTCCTTCCTTCCTTCCCTCCCTCCCTCTCCCCCTCTCCCCCTTTCTCTCCCTCCCTCCCTTTCCCTCTCCCTCCCTCCCTCCCTCTTCCTCCTTCCCTCCCTCTCCTTCTCCCTCTCCCTCCCTTTCCCTCCCTCCCTCTCCCTCTCCCTCCCTTTCCCTCCCTCCCTCTCTCTCCCTCTCCCTCCCTCCTTCCCTCCCTCTCCCTCTCCCTCTCCCTCCCTCCTTCCCTCCCTCTCTCTCTCCCCCTCTCCCTCCCTCCTCCTCCCTCTTCAAGCATGCTCTTAAATCATTGCACTGACTGAGTGATTCTATAAATCTGGCTCTCCCGTGTCCATCCCATTCACTGAATAAAACGACTGAGATTGGCAAGAAATGGATGAAGTTTCTCTTAGAGGCTGCTCTTGTTCAAAATCCTATCCAGTTGCTGCCTCTAATTAGGAATATTTAAATCTGCCCATTTTCAGTTTCCCCCCCACTTTCTTATTTTTGCAATAATCTCAAATTCGTTTCCAATACAACTCCTGGCATTTTTGCAACAAAACAAAACAGAACAAAAACAACCCTTCCATACATCATTTTCACGAATACATATATTTTCAGAAGCCTTTTTCGTAATATGTATACAATACATATACATATATATACATATACATATTTAAATTGCTGGAGAACTAGACTGCAAAAATGCGGGGGTGGGGTTAGGGTTAGGGTTAGGGTTAGGTTTAGGGTTAGGGTTAGGGAAATTTAGGATGATTTGGTTTGGCAATGCAAGAATAGTTGAGCTTGTATTCATACGTAAGCACAATACTCCTATTCCATGTAGGCCTTCTGCTCTTTTTTGCAGTTCTTTTTTTTTTTTGATTTTCCAATTGTCACTTTGTTTGATAAATGCAAAACTTGTTGATTATCTTCCTAGGCTATGCCTTGCTGATTTAACCAAATCAAAAGCTTTTTATAGACTGTTTGTTCCTTTCATATAAAACATTTTATGTTGTACCTCATCGACGACACTGTGATAGCAGATGTAAAATATTGAGCCTGTAAACTAGATGGCAAAGATAGAGTTGTCTCTCTGTGTTTGTGTTTGTGTGTGTGTGCGAGAGAGAGAGAGAGGGAGGGAGGGAGGGAGGGAGGGAGTGGGGGGAGAGAGAGTGAGAGGGAGAGAGGGAAAGAGAGGGAGAGGGAGAGAGGAGAGAAAGGGAGAGGGAGAGAGGGAGGGAAAGAGGGAGGGAGAGCGAGGGAGAGGGAGAGAGGGAGAGAGAGAGGGAAAGAGAGGGAGAGAGGGAGGGAGGGAAGGAGAGAGAGAGAGAGAGATCCATATTCCTGCCAAATAAACTATGCCGATACGTTCACGAGCTCAGCCGCAATCAACCTCAACCTAGAGAAAAGGTTTCTTGACTTCTTATCGTGCAAAAGGCACAATATTTTTTTATGGGAAGTGCTTGACCACATCCTTTTAAAAAATAATTTCTGGTAATAACTGCTGTTTCCGGTTTGTGCATCATCCCCCACCCCCTTCGGGCTGCTAAAGAACATGCTTCGACTTCCAAATCATGCAAAGCCATAAGGGGCCTTGACTGGTTTTATCTTGGTTCAGTGGATGGTGCCTTCCGTACACCAAGATTAAACAAACCCTGGTTTAGGAGAGTACCTGAACGTGTCCTTGGAGAAGGCAGACATTTTGGACAGCATGTTGAACAACAGGAAGTCTTAATCTCAGTGCTTGGCATTTTCATAGAACTCAACAAAAAAAGAAGTAAAAAGAGGCATTGAGGATTTGAACCTTTCAGAAAACGGGGGGGGGGGGGCAGGAAACTTATTTAGGAAGTCTCTATGTCAGTTCCTAATTTCTAATCCCATGTTCTTTGCTGGCTGGTGTCAAATTCAATCCCAGAGATGAGACAATAAACTCCAGTTGAAATCTTTTATTTGTTTGCCTCTAACAGACAGAATCTTGCCAAACTAAAGCTATAACTTTCAGAGCTACTAGATACATCCTGAAAGATTCTATGTCAGTGATGGCGAACCTTTTCGGCACTGAGTGCCGAAAAGGGAGTGCGCACGCGTGCTCGTCTGGGTGCCAACCTGGAAGAGTTGCTCAGGGCGCATGCGCACGTCCAAAAATGAACTTCCAGTTCATTTAGTCTTCCAGGTTTCTGGCACACATGCGCTCACGACAATCAGCTGGCCGTCGCGCATGATCACACAGGAAAACGGAAGACCAGTTCTTCCAGTTTCCGGTACTGCCACACGCACAAAGGCCAGCTGATCATTGCACGTGCACGCATGCCAGAAACCCGGAAGAGGAACAGGCAACACCGCGTGTGCCAGGTGACATGGCTCTGTGTGCCACTTCGGGCATGCGTGCCATAAATTTGCCATCACAGTTCTAAGTTATGGCTACTCTGAACTCTTCCCCACTCCCCCATCCATCTTGGAACTGCACAATCTCTTAATCCAGGTCTTTTTCTCAGAAAGCTCTCTTGGCCCAATCTTCCTTCTCTACTGCGGCAGGTGCTCTGTTCTATCACACTACCAAGATCCTTGGTAGTACAGTGGTCTAAGGCACCCTGTTATTAAGCTGGTTATTAAGACCAGCTGCATGCAATTACTGCAGGTTCGAATCTCGCCAAGGCTCAAGGTTGACTCAGCCTTCCATCCTTTCTAAGGTAGGTTAAATGAGGACCCAGTTTGTGGGGGCAATAAGCTGACTTTGTATAAATATACAAAAGGATGAAGGCTATTGCTTAACGCGTTGTAAGCCGCCCTGAGTCTCCGGAGAAGGGTGGCATATAAATCAAATTAAAAAAAACAAACACTGGGATAGACTACCGCATCCCTCCAGCACTGGTTTAAGTCGGAAAATGAAGCGATTGCTCATCAATTAATTGGGAAACTCCTTTCCACATTGAAGGGGAATTTGTTAGGGATGCTTTTATCAAATTAAAAAAAAAGTGGGGGGGGGAGAGAGAAATGCACTGCATCATCACGACTCTGGGCCTGCGGGTCTCCTACTGCAGTTGCTCGACTTCATTTTGCTAAGAGCTTCTCTGCAGAGTGAACTGAGTAAGCAAGGTGGGCAACAGGCAGAAGACACAAAGGATGGATCAGCCGTCTGTTTTGCAAGACCACTGACCTTTTTTTTTTTTTTTTGCTGATGCACCAATCAGGAGAAAGTCCCAGTGAGTTTGTAGATTGTTTTTAGAAGATTCTGCAACCTGAATAGGGCTTAATTTGTACATTTTGCTGGGGCGAGTTGTAGCCGAGCAGGTCATATTCTCCTTATATGGACAATGTCCACATAACTGTCAGCTTTGGAAGCCATATTAGGCTGGAAGCTCCGAAGCTGCCACCTTCTCGTGTGTGGGAAAGTAGGAGGAGGGATTTATTTGAGGGTTTGTATTTAGACAAAATAGCATTTTTCCCGTCAATCAAGGTCAGGATGAGTCTGCATCTGGAGAAGGAATGGTTGGAATCAGTGGTGGGTTTCAAATTTTTTTACTACCGGTTCTGTGGGTGTGGCTTGGTGGGCGTGACATGGCTTGGTGGGTGTGGCTTGGTGGGCGTGGCAGGGGAAGGATACCACAAAATCTCCATTCCCACTCCACTCTGGGGCCAGCCAGAGGTGGTATTTGCCAGTTCTCCGTACTGCTCAAAATTTCCGCTACCGGTTCTCCAGAACCTGTCAGAACCTGCTGGATTTCACCCCTGGCGGAAACTAATCAAGGAGAGAAGCAACCTAGAACTAAGGAGAAATTTCCTGACAGTGAGAACAATTAATCCGTGGAGCGACTTGTCTCCAGAAGTTGTGAATGCTCCAACACTGGAAGTTTTTAAGAAGATGTTGGATAACCATTTGTCTGAAGTAGTGTAGAGTTTCCTGCCTAAGCAGGTTGGACTAGAAGACCTCCAAGGCCCCTTCCGACTCTGTTATTCTATTCTATTCTATTCTATTCTATTCTATTCTATTCTATTCTATTCTATTCTATTCTATTCTATTCTATTCTATCCTATCCTATCCTATCCTATCCTATCCTATCCTATCCATAGGGTTTCTACTTCTGTTTCCAGGACTAAGCTGATTTTCAGCTTTTAACATTTCGTTTGCAAAAGGAAGGAAAGTGATAAAAATAAAACAGCAATAAATCACCAAAATTGCCTGATCCCTGCTGATCCTTGATGTACAGTTGCAGGGCCTTTATTTGCCTTTCGGAGATGAATGCCCTATTGTGTGCTTACATTCCGTCAAAAGCTTTATCTATTTTGGAATTAGCCTTGAACCATCCTTCAGTTGTGTCAAATGGTTGGACAAGCTCCACCTCTTTTGTCCATCCATCACGATGCTGCGGTACTGTTTGGAAAAGAACAAAGCTTATGTTCCAGTAGGGATCTCTGAAAAGAGCCGATTTTGCACAACAAAGACTGCCCCAAGACATTGACCCAGGTTTAATATTGACCAAACCTATCCTGCTGTCTGAATTCTTAGCTGACCCGTTCAGATTAAACATGCTGTGTAAACAGAGTCCAGGGATGTCCACAGGGCAGAGAAAGTTTTTTAAAAGTCAAGGTGGTGGCAACATGATCGCACCATCCAAAACCTGCCTCCATGTTCAATTGCATTATGATCATGAACGTCTATGGCAGTGTTTTTCACCCTTGGTAGCTTGAAGATGGGTGGACTTCAACTCCCAGAATCCCCCAGCCAGCAGAGTTCGTTTCCTGAACTTGCTAGACTAATGTCAACTTGCAAAGCTTTCAAGTTGCCATGAGCAGGATGGAGGGAGAACTGAAGTGAATTCCATACATACTTCCTGACCTCAATCAGAAGGAGGGTCTTAGGTTTCACAGCCAGCCAAAGTGGTTAATTGGAGAATGTGATTTATGACATGGCCAGAGAGGAGGGGAGAGACAGGGTCATAAGGGAACGTAAATCTACGTGGGATCAGTCCTAACTGCATCCGAGTATTGCCGGAATGTTGCTCCTAATAAATGACTGTATTTCCTTTGAAGTTTGGATCATGGCTCATGAATTAATTAGGGCATCTTTCGGAAACTTGACAACTAAATCTTAAGGTAAAGGTACTTTACCTTAAGGTACTTATGTGCTAGTCGTTCCCGATTCTAAGGGGCGGTGTTCATCTCCGTTTCAAAGCCGAAGAGCCAGCGCTGTCCGAAGACGTCTCCGTGGTCATGTGGCAGGCATGACTCAACGCCAAAGGTACATGGAACGCTGTTACCTTCCCACCAAAGGTGGTCCCTATTTTTCTACTTGCATTTTTTACATGCTTTCCAACTGCTAGGTTGGCAGAAGCTGGGACAAGTAACGGGAGCTCAGACCGTTACGCAGCACTAGGGATTCGAACCGCTGAACTGCCGATCTTTCGATCGACAAGTTCAGCATCTTAGCCACTGAGCCACCGCATCCCAGACTAAATCTTAAGGCTGAGTTATAAAAAAATAAAAGCACCCCGCATAATTGCAATATTCACTTCACCTGCAATGCCCCAATGTGCTGTATTGTGGCTTACCGTGATCTGATTCATGTCGATCCTATCAAGGACTAGGGGTGACTCGATATCGGTCTTCCAATATTTTTGAGGGGCTGTCCCAGAGAGGACCTATTCTGCAAAACACCTAAGGGCAGGACAAGAAATAATGGATGGGAACTTCCCAAGGAAAGATCCAACCTAGAGCTAAAAGAGAATTTCCCTGTCAGTGGAGACAAGTCACCAGTGGAATGGTTTGCCTCCAGAAGTGGTGGGTTCTCCATCACTGGAGGTTTTTAAGGAAAGATTGGACAACCATTTGTCCAGAATGATATAAGGTCTCCTGCTTGGACAGGGGGTTGAACTAGAAGTCCTCCAAGGTCCCTTCCATCTACAAGAATCTGTATTCTTGTAGAATTCCAGGGGGTCAAAACTAAAGTCATATGATTTTTTTTAAAATTTTTATTACATATATAAACACACAAAAAACACATACACATACACATACAAATGCGACAAATACGACATTAATAACATAAATGGCATCTAAACGTAGTGTCTGATTTTATCCGACATCAATAACCTAAATTCCTCTATATTCCTTCCTCTCGCCTTATATAACGATATTATTTTTTAATCTTTAATTATAGTCCACTAGGAGAAGGGCGGTATACAAATTGAATAAATAAATAAATTATGGGTTGTTATATCTTATTTGGTACAAAATTTTGTTTTACTCTTTTAGGATCCTCTTTTGTTTTTGTTTTTTTTTTGTTGTTTTTTTTTATTAGATTTATATGCCGCCCTTCTCCGGAGACTCAGGGCGGCTTACAATGCGCTAAGCAATAGCCTTCATCCTTTTGTATATATTTATACAAAGTCAGCTTATTGCCCCCACAACTGGGTCCTCAATTTACCTACCTTAGAAAGGATGGAAGGCTGAGTCAATCTTGAGCCTGGCGAGATTCAAACCTGCAGTAATTGCAGACAGCTGGTCTTAATAACAGGGTGCTTTAGACCACTGTACTACCAAGGCTCCTTTTTTTTTTTCCCCTACCACCTTTGCCAAACCAGGTAGTAGTCAGATTCTTCCTTTCCTTGAATTTCCTTGGTGAGTCTGTCCATCTCAGCACATTCCATAAAGTCATACAATTTATAATGATGTTACCTGAGAAAAAGAGATCTGCAGGCAGAGTCGCAGAACTGCAGGGATTAAAACTGGGAAGTGAGTCTTATCTACTTGTCAGGAAACATAATCAAGAAACGATTTAGTCTTAAGATGTGGCAATACTACTCTTTTTTTTTCTTTTCTTTTTTTTTGGTGGTGGTTATTGTATTCAAGTGGGGTTATTTCCCTGTCGGATGCAAGCTGTTCTGAGAAGCCTGACTAACGTATATTTTTTATTGCCCAGGCTGAAGGCGCATTTCTCAAAAGGTTGTGCCTTGGTCATAAAGAGCTTGTTGTTGTAGCATCTGGTTGCAACCAGAGCAACCGGCTCATTGTCCTTTGTTCCAGAACAATGAGTTTATTATGTATTTTCTCCCTCTCTTTCTCCCCTCGCTTCCTCCCCTTCCACCTGGGAGTTCTGTGGTCCTGGTAGGATCATATATTTAAAGTCCACAGCATCCTTGTCACAGTTAGGCCAGCTTCCAGAGGCTTCTTTAGCTCCTGGTGCTTATGTTTGCAATCAGTTTCTTCTAATTCAAAACTCTCCATGTTGTCCATCTCTAAACAGGTGGTTAGGGATGGAGCCCATGATCTGTGTTGTGGCCTGCCAGCGGCCTGCGCGGATCGTGGCTGATCCCGATGAAGAGGAGGCTGGTGTGGTGTCGCGCCAGCCAGCGCTCGCGTCGGACAGCGAGGAGGCTGAAGAGGATGTGATGCCAGAGGCAGAGACTCAGCCAGGGCCTTCCACTGGAGAGAGCGAAGTGGAGGAGCCTCTCCTCAATGCTCGGGCACGCAGGGCTGCCAAAAGGCAGGAGTGTGTACTCAGGAGGAGAAGGTCTACTCGAGAGTAGGGTTTGAGGATAATTGGCCACTCCCTTAGCCTATTTAAGTCACACGCAGCTAGTGCGTTCTTGCTGGAAACAACTCGTATTATTATCAGAGTATTTTGGTTTATCATATCTTGTTTTCTGGGTTGGTTCCCAACCTTTGCCGGTCTTGTTTATTCTTGCTACTTAATAAATTTGATAAGGACCGTTGGTGTGTGTCAATATCCTCGGAAATCCGGAGCTGGGGCAGAACAATCTGAGGCTATGGTTCTGCAAAGATGGAGCACCGAATACCTGGCTGAGAAATTGTTCTGACCTAGGCTTCCTTAGAAAGTATACAGCACAATCTTAGTCCCAGCAAACCTCTTTAATTCAAATGGCTGTGAATTATTGTCATTCCCAGTCCGAAAGGCTTCTCAAACAGTCTATCGGGAGTGTTTACAAACACCCACCTTATCTCCCTTGGAATGCTGCCAGAGAACTAATTGCCAAACGCAGGGCAAGGCCAAACTTAGCACAGAGTCAAACAAAGCTTTTCCAGAGCTTTTACTGACCAGATGAACTGCAAAAGCTTACGTCCCGTTCGCTTCTCTTTTATGTCTTCTGGGGGGGGGGCAATTATCTCCAAGCCTTACTTCCAAGTCGGCCCTGATTTCTTAATTGTTCCTGTCTCCTGGCAGCTCTGTGCATGTACACACTGGGAACAGGCTCACGCTGTTCTTCTGCCTCGCTGATGTCAGACTCTGGGGACTCCGGAGGCAGCAAAGAACTACCAGATGGCCTTGGCCCCCTCTCTGCCTCCAATGCAGAGCCCTCATCTGAGCCTTCCCCAGACTCCAGGACTGGCCCATGTTTCTCCCCAACCTCTTCACTGTCCAAATCTGCTGCCAGCTCTGCTGGCCACTGGCGGGCCACAACAGAAACACTTCATTTTGAGGGAATACTATTCCCTCCTTTATTATAGCTAAAGATAGTTGAGGGGTGATCTTGAACAGAAGTAGAGGAGATTGGTTAAAAACTTGGATTACAAAACAGTTTGGGCTACAGAATAAAGGCTTCTCAATCGGGTTTGAGAATTACTGTTCCATCTGACGATTTGTCCGTTTCATACATAGAAATCCTATGTCTTAATACTCGTTGTGAATTAGGTATTTTTAAATGGGAATTTTGCCTCAGGGAGGGGAATGGAGAGAAGAGCCAGTTTGGCGTAGTGGTTAAGGCACCAGACCAGAAATTGGGAGGCCAAGAGTTCTAGTCCTACCTTAGGCCCAAAGCCAGCCAGGTAATCTTCGGTCGTTCATTCTCTTTCAGCCCTAGGGAGAAAACAATTGGCAAACAACTTCTGATAAACCTTGCACTGCAACTGTAGGGACTAGTTTAGGCAGTTGCTATGAATAATAATAATAATAATAATAAAATGATTGAAGAGACAACTACATAGTCTCAGGATGATGGAGAAAAGCCAGAGCCCCTGGGGCTAATTTTTAACTTTTGAGCTCCTTTGGAGACCCAGAAGCACCCTTGTCAAAAATTAGTAGTATTTTGTCTTAGAAATACCTGAAAGCTGTAGCCTAAAACTAATATAATGATAGCTTGGTACTCAACTGCTTTGAAACTCATCGAATTTGGCACTCAACACATTTTCATGTGGAAATTTTGTCCCGGTACTCATCATTTGTTTGGTACTCAATGCACAAGATAGAACTTGTCGATGTCGGCTACCTTGTGTCTCACTACATCATTCCTTATGGGAAATATTTGTTTGGTACTCATCACGCCTCCCAGAATCCAATTGATGATGAGTACCTAAGTACCGCTGTACTAGGACACAATCTTCCTTAATGGCTTCTGTGGCTTGTAGAAATACCGTTAAAGTCATCACAGTCATTTTGAAAGCCATGTACAGAATATTAAAAACGGTTAAATATAACAACGTTAGACTATTGAAAGGGTGAATATATTCATTCTGAGATAGCTTCTGACTTGTGCTAAGGAGGGACCTTCCTCTGGCTTTCCTTCCACAACATGATTCAAAGCAGGGGTGGGTTCTACTTACCTTTACTATCGGTTCGCAACGAGACCATGCGTGCACATGTGTGCACGCATGTACGCATGTGCACATGCACAGAAGCTTCTGTGCATGCACAGAAATTTGCTGATGATGTCAGGGTAGGTGGGCACAGCCTCCTGCTGGTTTTACTACCGGTTCTTGCGAACCGGTCCGAACCGGGGGACAACCCACCACTGATTCAAAGTTTCCGAAGGTCTCACGTGTCAATTTCATAACCCTTTAGTCAGTTTCAGAATGCCATAGAAAACGCCCAGTTTAATTTTCCTTGCTTTTATGAATGCTACCTGTCTGCGAGATGATCTTGCAGCCTTAAATCATGTTGTACTGGGAACATATGAAAGCTGCAATTACCTGAATGATTGTTCCTAAAAGCCCATGTATTTTTAAGAGAAAATGGGATCAGGAGGAAAGTGCCAAAGCTTCACCTAGGACATGGCACTTAATCTCTTTGGAAACTTAGCCATCACTTTTATAAAGAACCTTGGAGAAACTATACAATGACAGTTACATAATACTGATTTAAGCCAAGGAGGAGAAGAAAATGTTTGGGGAGGGGAAATATACTCACTCCGACATAACTTAGCATAAGAGAGGGACAAGGGAACTATGTTAAGCTTTCAAGATTCTGTTACTAGAGAGTTTGACTACCCTACAAATGGATCTTGAGCCTCTTTGGAAGTTCTAGCAAGGGAGTACAGCTATTGCAGTGGTGAAATCCATTTTTTTTTCTACCAGTTCTGTGGGCATGGCTTGGTGGGCGTGATCTGGCTTGGTGGGCATGGCAGGGGAAAGATACTGCAAAATCCCCATTCCCTCCCCATTCCTGGGGGAAGGATATTGCAAAATCACCATTCCCTCCCCACTCTGGGGCCAGCCAGAGGTGGTATTTGCCAGTTCTCCAAGCTACTCAAAATTTCCACTACAGGTTTTCCAAACTGCTCAAAATTTCTGCTACTGGTTCTCCAGAACCTGTCAGAACCTGCTGGATTTCACCCCTGAGCTATTGTATATCCTTGACTGAAGTCCTACTCTATCTATGATGGCTTTCTTCTTCCACCAAGCATGAAGTTTCTAGAGGGATGTTCATGGAGCAGTGAGGGAGAAAAAGGACATCCACCTTCACATCTAGATTGTCTGAATCAACCCTGAAGATCAGTGGAGTGACAGATGTTGCAGCCAGATCACCTTCCCATCTGCTATAAAGTAGAGTTTGAGTCATTCTTGAGGAATCTGTTTCCTGAGCTACAGCCAAGGCTTCAGTCAGACAAGAAATAACTCGCCCACAGAAGGAACAGAGGTGGAGAAAGGATCTTAGAAAGGACCCTCCCTACTTCTGTAGGACACATAGGCAAGGCAGGGGTTTTTCAAACTTGCAAGTTTCTGTTACTGTAATCTTACATTAAAGTTACTGGTAGTACCTATGGTTTTGGTTTCCCATCTGGACTAACTCCAAGGGTTGATATAGAGCAGGAGTGTCAAATTCAAGGTCTGGGGGCCGGATCCGGCTTGTGGGGTACTTAGATCTGGCCCGTAGGGCTGTCCTGGAAACAGCGAAGAACTGGCCCACAGTGCCTCTACCAGTGAACATAGAGCTCGGGAGGACTGTATGTGGTCCTCCCGAACGTCGTTTTCGCTGGCAGAGGGTTGCAGGAGGCCGTCACAGCCAAAAACGGAGCTCAGGAGCCTGTTTTTGATGTCAGAGTGCTGAGATCACCACAGGCACCCCCGACATGAGTGACATCGAGCTGGCCACACCCACCCTGGGCATGCCCCCCCGGCCCCTCCAGGTCAAACAGAACCCTGATGCGGCCCTCAATGAAATCGAGTTTGACACCCCTTATACAGAGGATTAAAGCTTCCATTGGCATCTTGCAGGCATCTGATGAAATGAACTGCAGTTTATCAAAATTTCTACCTGTAAATAAAATTATCAGCTGCTACATGACTCCTGAATTTTTTTTTTTTTTGTCACCCTAAGTTAATGCAGCTTTCCTCCTACAGTCTACCACTTGGTTAGCTTGTCACGTTATGAACTAGAGCTTTCCATGCCAGACGGGATTTTGTTTAGGACTTATTTATTTGATCGTTTGTTTTTTTTCAGCTCAACTGGAAAATTTATCATTTATTTGCTGTAACCTGCCTGAGATTCTAAGACTCTCAGGCAGGTTACAGCAATTAAAATTATAAATACCCCAATGGTATAAATTGAAGTTGTGAACATAAAAACAGCAATGATAATAAATCACCTTTTCCTCCAAAATGGATGCAAATAAAAATGTAACCACAGTCCAAAGCCTACTGAGATAAACTATGTTTAAAAATCTTCTTAAAACAGGGAGGGGGACTAAAATGC